TTTTTTTTTTTAATTGCATAAGCTCTTTTGGGGAACTGTAACCACCAGAAGTGGAAAAAACCCCAACAGATTGCTCCTAAATCTCATTAATTCACAGACTAATGTTTGCTACACCTTCTAAAATTAAAACAACAGATTCATATTCCTTGAAGCCCAGTTAGTCAGAAAAGCAGTTAGGCATAAATGGCACATACTCAATAGACCTGCTTCCTAACTCAATCAGAATTGCTCACCTTACTAAAGGAAGCATGTACACCTTTCAGCCCTGTCAGCATCAGTGCATCTAGGAGATAGTGAGCTCTCTTTGCAGCATCAACACAATCCATGTGAAAGTCTAGTGGCAGACTCATTACTTCTGGTGATTGGGTCAGAGGCAGAAGGATCTCAGGTGGGGTTTGTGAGGATGGCCATTAGAAAAATAATCTGTTAACCTGTAAATAAAGCTCATATATTCTGGAATAATTGAGAGTGGATGAACATGGATCCTACCATACATTTTGAAATCCAGACCCACAAGAAAATTGCCTCCTCTTTGACTCTTGCTCTTTCTTAAGGTGCTCTTTCTTAAAAGTCCCTAAAAGAAAAATATACCTGTTGGGGATCAGTGGACAAGTAGTTGTTGGAGCTTTCATAGAGGCTTTCCAGTTCACCTTGCCTAGAGGTTCAGTGCATGTGAAGAGTGTTAATAGCTATGAGGTAAGCTTCTCCTAGGGAGACAGATGTGAATAATTGCTATTCTGAACACGTTTATTTGCTTTATGATTTTAAATTATTTTTCACACTCCAAGCAGAGAGCACAGTCAGACTAGATATTTACTGAAAAGGCTTATAGAGCCTTGTCTGAAAAAAAACAGATGAAAAAATTCAAACTTCCCTTTTTTTCCTAAATGCAGTTCCTGTGAAAAAGACAATTACTATTAGTTCTTTAAGATGTAGAATCATAGAATATCAGGGTTGGGAGGAACCTCAGGAGATCATCTAGTCCAACCCCTTGCTCAAAGCAGGACCTAATCCCAACTAAATCATCCCAGCCAGGGCTTTGTCAAGCCTGACCTTAAAAACCTCTAAGGAAGGAGATTCCACCACCTCCCTAGGGAACCCATTCCAGTGCTTCACCATCCTCCTAGTGAAAAAGTTTTTCCTAATATCCAACCTAAACCTCCCCCACTGCAACTTGAGACCATTACTCCTTGTTCTGTCATCAGGTACCACTGAGAACACTCTAGATCCATCCTCTTTGGAACCCCCTTTCAAGTAGTTGAAAGCAGCTATCAAATCCCCCCTCATTCTTCTCTTCTGCAGACTCAACAATCCCAGTTCCCTCAGCCTCTCCTCATAACTCATGTGCTGCAGCCCCCTAATCATTTTTGTTGCCCTCCGCTGGACTCTTTCCAATTTTTCCACATCCTTCTTGTAGTGTGGAGCCCAAAACTGGACAACTGTACTCCAGATGAGGCCTCCCCAATGTCGAATAGAGGGGAACGATCACGTCCCTTGATCTGCTGGCAATGCCCCTACTTATACAGCCCAAAATGCTGTTAGCCTTTTTGGCAACAAGGGCACACTGTTGACTCATATCCAGCTTCTTGTCCACTGTAACCCCTAGGTCCTTTTCTGCAGAACTGCAGCCTAGCCACTTGGTCCCTAGTCTGTAACAGTGAATGGGATTCTTCCGTCCTAAGTGCAGGACTCTGCACTTGTCCTTGTTGAACCTCATCAGATTTCTTTTGGCCCAATCCTCTAATTTGTCTAGGTCCCTCTGTATCCTATCCCTACCCTCCAGCGTATCTACCACTCCTCCCAGTTTAGTGTCATCTGCAAACTTGCTGAGAGTGCAGTCCACGCCATCCTCCAGATCATTAATGAAGATATTGAACAAAACCGGCCCCAGGACCGACCCTTGGGACACTCCGCTTGAAATCGGATGCCAACTAGACATGGAGCTGTTGATCACTACCCGTTGAGCCCGACAATCTAGCCAGCTTTCTATCCACCTTATAGTCCATTCATCCAGCCCATACTTCTTTAACTTGCTGGCAAGAATACTGTGGGAGACCGTATCAAAAGCTTTGCTAAAGTCAAGGAATAACACATCCACTGCTTTCCCCTCATCCACAGAGCCAGTTATCTCCTCATAGAAGGCAATTAGGTTAGTCAGGCATGACTTGCCCCTGGTGAATCCATGCTGACTGTTCCTGATCACTTTCCTCTCCTCTAAGTGTAACTTTAATGGGCTTCAGAGAAGAGGCAAACTGACCTGGATGGCTCTTCTCTTGCAAACCCTGGCACTCTTTTTGGCCAAAATCAGATGTCCAGTCAGTTTATAATAATATGAATGCATCCTCTTTTGGGGAAACTGGAGCCTGCTCTTGTAAAGCGGATAGCCCTAGTGATCTAATGCAGTGGTTTTTTCATTTGCAGACCCCTACAAAATTTCAAATGGAGGTGCTGATCCCTTTTGAAATCTTAGACATAGTCTGCGGACCCCCCTGCAGACCACAGGTTGTAAACCACTGTTGTATGGTAACAACAACCTTTCACGGACCCTTAGTCATAGGGTTGAGGACCACTGAAAAATGCATCTTTCATGTAAGAGTAACTGCTGTTACTCTAATTCAGGAAAAGGGTCAGGGCAATGACTAGCTTTGGCTATGAATAAATCTACTGTTGCTTCAGATCTTGTTAATGACAACGGGGGCATGATAAAGGTCTATCCTCTTTCTTACGATAAGAGAGCAAGGGAACATCAGTTTAAAACCCACAAAAGTAACCCATTTAAAATGGAGGAAAGTGAAAACAGATGCTCTACGTAATGCATAGTTGGCATGTGGAACCTACTGCCACAAGATGTTTCTGAAGTGAAGAGCTTAGCAGGATCTAAAAACAACATAGACGTTTATATGGATAATATGAATATACAGTTACAGAGAGAATAAAAATCATAGCGGATATAAACCATTAATTCCCACTGGAGTCAGAAAGAGATTTCTTCCGTAGGCGTTGCATTGTTGTCCGGTATGGACGTTTTGGACCTTTACCTCTGAAGTATTTGGTGCTGAACCTTGTAAGAGACTGGACTAGGTGTACCAGTGCTCTGATTCCATATCGCCGTTCTTGTATTCCTAATTGTGGAGGAAACCTGATTGAAGCGGGAGTTAAACAAAACAAAACAACCGCTTCAAAACAGAACAACACCCACCACCACCACCCAGAAATATTCAGAATAAAGAGAGTGCTTGTGTACAACTAGACTAGTGTACAATTAAATCTTTTCAATGGTAAGAACCAGTTGGGACCCGTTAAGAGAATTCCTATCAGTCAGAAGTTGGGTGACATTAGTATTTACTTTAAAAGGTGGGAGCTGTACAGGATATAATACGTGACTTTAATTCCCATTGTAGAAAGCAGGGCAGGGAAGGGTGAGAGTGAACCAGAGCAGGACTTCTCAGTTTTTTTTTCCTCCTGAGACCCACAAGTCACTCAATGTTTACTCCTGTGACCCCCAGATCATACAATTTTTGTACTGATATCCCTGAAGTATTTTCATTGTTTCATTGCTAAAACATAAAAAAATGTTGCAGTGCATAGTTATTTGTGACTTTTTAAATCTATATTCATTGTGCCATATGTGGTCAAAATTAGGTTAGGAACCCACTCTGCTGGCTTCACAGTCATTGTTTTGAAAATTGGTTATAATACAATCCTGTAACTGGCCAGCAGGGGGTGCTACAAGAGGGGAGAGAGACCTATCTTTGGGCTGGTCTACACTAGAGGAAGGGATTGATCTAAGATACGCAGCTACGCTATTCGTGTAGTTGAAGTATCTTAGTTCGACTTACCTGTCCGTCCTCACGGTGGCAAGTCGACTGCTGCAGCTCCCCCGTAGACTCTGCTTACTTCTCCTGCCGAGGTGGAGTACGGGTGTCGATTTGGGGATCAAGTATCAGAGGGGTAGCCGTGTTAGTCTGAATC